ACATGCAATTTCAAAGCCATATCACGAGTGTGTTTCCTTGGGTTTGACTCGACAAGTGTCTTCAGAGTATCAATTCCAACATATCGGCTCCTGCCATCACAGTTTTCAAGGATAAAGTCACGTGAACAAAATTTTCTGAACCATAATTGACACTTACGAACGTTCAAACATTTCTATGAATTCTTTGGCTACAGAGGCGTTGTTTCCCTTCTTATATTCAAACAGCATTACATGCCGAATGTGTGTCTCGTCGTGTGCCATTACTATAATGGATTAGAGTATTCTAAACTTTACACATTATATAGGCTAAGGTGACGTTTAGGCAGTTCATTTAACTATTCTACGTGATGTACGTTTTTTTTTGGGGGGGGGGCAGTGGTAATAAAAGTACTCCAAACGCGACATTAATTTTTTGACGATCTAATATTTTTGAAGTGGCCCAAAAATATTTTTTGTCCCTGGCACATACATTTCTCTTTGGGTTCTAGCTGTTAGCATACACACACACATATATGTATAAATTTTGGACCTACCCTAGAGAACACTACCAATGCAGCATTTTCTTGCACGTTACAATAACTCAAGGCATTCATAGTTGCCATAACAACTTCCTTAAAACCAAGTCCAAACCAGCAAACACAACCATTCTTCGCAGCTGAAATGAAAGTTATGATCCAGATTTTTTCAAATTGTCGTCTATTTAGCTATATAAAGTAAATGACATTAGTAATTGTTACTTCTAGTTCGAAGCTCTAGGCAGTATAATTATTATACGAAGCCTGTAAGCTGAAAATCGTATGTGCGATCTAACACAGTGGATGAGGCCTATAGTCCTAAACTCTGATTAAATACCAGATGTGCAGTTTTAAGACTGGTAGGGACTGAAGAGTCATAAAAGTTGAATGTGTTTATTTTCCACATTAGTATATTAAGTTGTTTTCCCGCTTTTCAGTACATTACATATAGTGGTTTGGGGTATAAGATTGTGAGAGAAATAAATGTATTGATAACTCCTACCGCCAATTCTGCGACCAATAAAAATATATTTGAATGTTTGCCAGCTTTCTTGTGGCATCTTAATCTCAACTGGCCGTATATGGATAGTACGCTCTCAGATAGTTGACGCATGAGAAGGATGTTTGCAACTATACAGTATACCGGTAATTCAAGGAGACAATATCTACCATTAGAAATTTCGGGACACAGGTCACCATATTTCAAAGCTCATGTCAACCTTTAAACCTAATGTTTTTATGTGACATTTACATTAAATAAACTCGAGTTCTTTACTATGAATTTTAAAATCTACCAATACCACGGAAAAACAATTATTTCACTTTGAAAATCTATAAAGTTTGTAACATTCAAGTTTCTTGAGTACCATTATTTTTATGTACTAGTCCTGAAGAAGCTGCAAAGGCGAAACGTCGGTTAAAATTCTCTTATAATTATCTAGGGTTTAACTGTCGTTTTTTCCAACTTTATTATCAAAAGATTATTGAATAATACATTAGATGCAAGCTATCTAAGAAACTAGATATTTCAAAATCTACATATTTAAACAAGTTTCACACAAGTTGGGAACATAAATATACATTATTCTCCAAATGTGTTAGTCTGAACTAGTATTTAGCGAATGTAAAATGCTACCGATTTTGTGTACTTTAAGTGTATTCAATAATCAATCTATTCCAATTTCCATTCATAGGAATATTTTTATTAGCCATTTAATTCCCAAATTATCAACCTCCTAGTGTGAACCACCTATTACTCATACTGAGTAATTTCATATTTTCATCTGTGAAAACTCAGTATATCCTGCAAAAACAACAACAAAAAAAAACACAAATGAAATCACTTATTCTTCCATTTAACTACAAATGGGACTCCAGTAGTAATCAGTTCGATTAATGGCAATGTTGATTGTTTTTAATTTTTTGTACGACTGATTTTGCTCGTTTGTTTAAATGCAAAGCTGCACCCATTGCTGGGATTGAACCACGAATTAGTGCGTTATAAGCCCTTAAGCCACAAGCAGGTATTATTATGGGAGACCGTGTAACCAACATATTCGTGGACCCACAAACAATTTGGTGCGTAAGTTATTCATCGGTTTAATAATGCAGTCACGTAGGTATGAATAACTACGTGAAAATATAAACTGTGGTTTCTTTTTGTGATATTTAAAAGAAAAACAATATTCAAACGAGTGAATACGTTTCAGTTACAAATAATTTAAAATACATTGTTGAAACTAATGAAGGTGTTACGGTTACTAATATAAAAAAAAAATATTATTCGTTTGAAGTTAAGCACAAAGCTACACAATGGGCTATCTGAACTCTGCCCACCACGGAACATTATTCAAACTAATGAAGATGTTACGGTTAACTGAATTTCAAAATAACATTACTCATATTTCATATAACATTATTCGAACTAGGGATGACGTTACAGTTATGGATACGTCACAATAACGTTATTTAAACTAGCGACAACGTTACGTTACGGTTTGTGAAGTTTAACTTCTTGGTAATTTTAAAAGTGTTGTATTAAAGAAATTTAATAATAATATTCCCGTTAATCGTATCCATTGAAATCAAATAATGAAAGAACATTATGCTCAATAGTCAATGAAAAAAAATGAAAAGTCAAAACATTTCATCGGTATGATAGACACTACAATAAAGTTTTGTATTTCTGTTAAGGCATAATGTAGATCACAACATTTCACTAAAGATGATAAGTTGTTTGATCAGTACTAATTAATAGGTTTCAAATCATTTTACTCTACATCAAAAACGCCACAAACAAGACAGTTTTAGTTACTACATTTTAATTTTAAATGTATATTATGATAAAGATAAGCCTGATCATGATTGTTTGGAAATTAAATATATATCAAATGCAAAGAAACAATACATAACCTTTTCATTTTTCAAATTTAAGTTGAAACTATTGTACTGCTTTTACCAAAAAGGGAGGGGGGACATAACTGGCTGATTTCTAAGTAGGGTATACATACTTTCTGCTTTTGAGAAAAAATTAAGCTTAAAATTCCTTTGTCAGATTTTATTTTGATAAAATCAAGCAGGCAATTTTATAAGTATCTGTCGAGAAGTATGCTTTAAGCCTTCCTCCAAAATCTTTAATAATTTCAGAAATTCACAAACATGAGAATACAATTTTTGAAAAATAAAACAACTTTTTAAATTATGGTAAGATTGAAAACAAAAAAATGAAATAATGATCCTTTGTTATTTTTCTACAATATTTCCAAATGGTAAAAGGTTCACCATTCAATGTCTTGAGTTTAAAGTATCACGAGTAACAATGAAATTAATTGTACTGAGATATCGTATGATCAAAAAATAAATAAGTCATAAAACAAGAAACCTGATAGTCCAAGTGCTTAAGTTTTGTTGTTTTGCTTAATATCTTACAGCAAGACAAGCTCATGTACAAACACGACCACAAATTATGAAAAACCAGACATGCTGTTACGTTCATCCTAGTATTCACTACATTTAACTGCAGATTTAAAATCTGGTTTTCACACACACACACACACACTTTATAATTAGAACAAAAAAGTCAGTTATTAAACATCTAAAGTATTTCAAGCCAATAGACCAAAACAATTGCGATAAGAATGTAGAAAAAAATCAGCATTTTACTGTTTTTTATCACAACTTTTAGGCCTCTTGGTTTCTATCACTTCACTAGCTTTCAGCATTTAAACTGTAACTTTAAAAGCATTTCAAGGCCTAACACAATTATTCTATTCTATGTATAACCGTTACTATAATTTTATACACGCTCCATTTACAGATAGATGGACCAAATAGTTTTTGTGATTCTCTTAAACCACAAAGGACTTAAAACTCCATTCTTCAACACCTATCTTCACAATTGAAATAGCAAGGTCTACTCTTTTAAAAACATTTGGCTTAATAGATTTCTTTATAGACATTCCCAGCAAGTTCTTCATAATTACAAGTTTTCAATTACAAGAAATAAGTTCTTAAAAGCAGTGCAAAACGTTTATAAGAAATTGTCGTACTCACGATAAGTTTTACATAACTCTGTGGATATGTTTTAACTCAAGAAAGTACAACTAACGGTTTCTTACTTAATACATATGGTTATCTCATTAATATTAAGGATGACAAAATAAAACAAAGTTAGCTTTTTCATAACAGCAGTATCAAAAACGAATGTTTCAAACACAAAGCAACAGATATTTTCAAGCTTTTCTTTTGCAAACATTTCAGCAACTAGGAAAGAATATTTTAAAATTCATGATACAACTGTCATTTGTTTCAGTTTATAACTATTTACCATGATAAATATATTTTTAAAATATTGTCATGATAACATTTTCATAGTTTTCAACATTTAAGACACTAATGTGTTGTCATTGTTTAACACTAATAACAGGAAAACTTGGTCTAAACAATATAAATTTTATATAGAAACAAAAATAAACGTAGTTAAAAAATGACCAAACTAGCAGAATTTTCTTCACTGCCCTGCTTAGAAATAAGAGAAATAATTTTGATATTTGTCTTGAAAATTTCTATTGAAGCTCAATGAAAAACGACAGTTTATATAACATACAAAAACAAGATATTCTGTAAATGAATTAACAGAAGTAGGATGTTTTTATCTTACAATACCAACACTATGAGGTTCCCATTCCTTTATGAAACCAAACTTATGATCTTAAAAGTGATGACAGAAACAAATTAAATGGTTATTCAACAACCAGTGAGTTGTACCACATAAATATTATTATACCATGCTAATATTTATGTAAAAGCAAGTAACTAAAACGTTATTAAAATCTCAAAAGACAATAGCAAAAGTTTTCATTCAGGATTGAAACAAGTTAACATATTATATAATTAGTCTTTAAATTTTTACTATTACTCGTTCTTTATTACAAACATAAATGATTTTCATTTTGAAACTGTAATAAACCACAAATATTTTATTAAAATAATGTTTTTAATAATGTGAGAAGATAAAAATATAAACAGAATAATATTAATATAGATGTTTTGAGAAAAGTTAAGAATGCAATTATACGATGAATATGACTAGTATTTTGTATAAATAAAATGATCAATGTTTATATTATGAAAGAAACAGGAAAGTTGGTAATCTCATCCCTTATGACATAAAGCTATTATTTTTTACCACATCTTTTCTTTTTCATCACAAATACTATGGGAAACAAATGATACTTAGATAATAAAATGTGTCCATCCTGAAATCACTACATAAAATACTTTATTTTGAAGAATTATTTGTCCCTAATTTACCACACAACATTCTGAACTATAAACTTCATTTAATAGCAATTAGAAAAATTAACCCAGTATTACATAAAACACCATGCTAGTAAAGTAACAAAAACAACATACATTTTTTGAATAATTATAATTATGTGAAAAGTTTAAAAAGTCTAGGAAATTTCTTTCTTCCTGATATGGTAACTAATGTAATTCTTAGTTTATTTTAATATCTGTATTTTACTTGGGCAAATTATAGATTAAGGTATTTTACAGCACATATATTTTCCTTTCAGAATAACAGACTAATAAGGAAGTTTTGTAAACTTTTATATGGTAATTACTTGATGAGAAATATACTCTTCTTGTATTTAATTTTTATACTGAAGTACCTTTAGTAACACAGAAATAATGAAATGTTTGTGATACTACAATACTCCAGGTTGCATGAAAATTTGCTTAACAGTTAGTTGTATGGCCTATCACAATGTCAATTTAAGTTGGTCCATATTTAAAAATTTAATAACAAACAAACATTTGGATGATAACAAAAGATTACACAATATTTATAAATTCAAAGCACTTTCCTATAGTTTGATAAAAATGAAAGACTAGCAATCCATAGTTGGCAGGATTAACTGTAATTATATCCAATAATATATATATACATATATTTATATGTAGTTTAACAGAAAACAATGCTCATTTAATTTTTCGACATAGTCAACAGGTACAATATGAATAATAAAAACGTATTATGTTGTATATCACTTATTTAACATCTAAAAATGCAGAACTAATGACTGAACTATGGTCATCTATAATTTAGAACATCATGGCAATATGGCACAACCTAGCACCAAATCTAAACATCTAAAGTTCATGAAATAAAAAGGCTAGTTTATGATACTAAGAAACCATACAGAATAGATAAATAACAAAGCAAGAAACATAAGGTTCTTGTTTTCTGAAAGGACTAGTTAACATCACAATACAAAAGTACAATAAATTTAAATATAAAAAACAACAGAAACAAAGATTAAATCATATACTTGTACGTATGATTTTAAACATAATGAAGTATTTCATTTGGTCAGAATATTTTGGTAATGTAACAGTAGAATAAACTGCACAAAAGCTAATATCTTGATAACACAATAAACCAAACAAATATATACTATTATTTCTTCAACTGTGTTCATGACGTGTTTTGAAAAAGATTCAAGTGTGTCCTATTAAAAAAAATTCTTTACATAAAACTTGGTACTTCTCAGGAACATCATAACTACACAGTAATGTGCTTTATCCTGGCACTTCCTACAAAAGTGAATAGTTTTTGGTTTCCAGGCTAATTGGTCATTTGTCTCAAGCCCATATCTGCAAAAGAACCATCAGTGATCTCAATATGTAACATATCAATACAACTCTTATTTGAAATTTTAAAACTACAACCTTTAACATGTACATCATCAAAATGTTTTTACAACTAACTTTATCAAAATAAAAAGTACTGTACAACTAAAACAGCATGCTAAATTCAAAGATTAGTCTTTGGAGAGACACAAGACTTCTGTAAGTTTTTAAAGTAATAAATGTTATTTCTGCATTATCTAAAAATGTACATGAAAGAGGAAATCAGAACAAGACACTTAAACTAGTGTCAGCCTTTACAGGATCCATTATTGTACATACTATTGGATAAAAATCATAATAATTATAAAAAGAATACTTCATGACTGACTAATACAAATGTTGGATTCACACAACCATATCAGATCTATCTCAGTTGAAGATTATCCTTCTTCCAAAGTGTACTTACCCTGAGTGTGAAGTCCCAGCTTCCTGTAGACAGAGCAGTGCCATCTGGTGAAACTTTTAAACATGTCACTCTATTTTCATGTCCATAGAGGATTGTGAGCCTCACACACTTAAGAGTGTCCCATACATTTACAGTATAGTCATTGTAGCCAGCAAATAAAAACCTACCTATAATACATATAACAAATCACATAATCAGTTACTCTAGTGAAGCTCACTCAGGAAAACACCAGCAACTTTTAAAAGCAGCATTCTCTTGCAAATAACATTAAAATATTATAGTTTTTACAATGATATAAGCAATGTTTAAATGAATGAGAGTGCATATAAAACAGGTAATCACAGGATTTTTTTTGTATCATTGCATCACTACTCAATCTTAGTTCTTTGACATGATAGCATTCAAGCTCTACAAAGTTTTTCAATCATTCATCCCTTTTCAAGCCAATGGATGTTCATGTTACTTCAAGTATACACGTGAAAATCAACTTTACAAATTTATTTAACAAGTATAATTCAACTTCTATTTCATAATTTTTATCAAATATATTGCAAATTCATATCTTAGCATTAGTTAGTTATCATCTAGACTTAATTAATAAAATTTTTAAAACATTTCCAACAATCATTCTCTATGGATGTTGCAACTAAAGGTTGTAACTTCCAAATTTTGTATTCATTTTTTCTCTGGCTCCTCCAATCTTATATTTATTACTCCAATCAGATTTAAGCACTTTGCCATTTATTTTATGTTCCTACACTTTCTGTTTGTCTAACTGTGAATTTATTGATTTACTTTAGTTCACATTTATAGGACCACCCACAGGATCCTTGAAAATGGATGAAACCTAATCCAATAATCATGAGAAATGAGAGATACTAATCAAGCTTTAACACTATGTAATCTAAATTCCAACAAATCTGTGTGCAAGCTACTTATAGTTATGCTAATGGCACGTTTGGATGTAGGGTAATAAAGCAACATGAAATATTTAAGAATTGATTAGAGATGTGAGATTTTTTTAAGTTTTTGGTTATAGCTGGGTAATTAACTTGACTAATCAATTACCAATAAGCATTGATTACATAAAATAATCGATTAATAGAAATTAGTGCTCCCATTTATTCCAACTATCCATGTAATCAATTAATTAGCCCAACAATTAACCGATTATAAAATTCTGCTGATCACCAAGTTCTATTTCTGATGATATTCTTAAATAATATCTAGTTTCTAAGAAAAGATTCACAAAAGTTTGTTGTGAAACTCTGTTTTGAAAAAACTAAAAAATTTCCTTACATCTTAAGTCTTCTGTCTTTCTTATTGATCAGAAAGTTACATTTCAAATATCTTATCAGTTTTAACTTGCTTGATATTCATCAGTACATTTCTTTTGATACTTTATTTTGTTGCTTGAAACAGTCAACTTTCTTGTGTAAAACAGACAAACATCAGTGGAAAATAACTTTAACATTTAATATGTTATCTTTTTCATGTGTGATATTTTGCAAACATTTTTCTTTTGCTGAGATCAATTTATATCTAAGAATTATAGATTATTTTCAATTAAAAAGATGCACTTGTATTACTTTTGTCTGCTGCTTGAACATGATAGATTTAACAGTATATACAATAAGTTTGTATTGTCTCATTAGTTTACATTCATGGGATTTAGTTTACAATGCTCACTAAACCACAGTATCCTTATTTGGTGTTAAAGAAAAAAATTATTTTCTATTGGATTCTAGTCATGATATTAACTGGACAACTCCAGGGCATTCCTTTCTTCTTCTTCAACCATTCCAGGGTGGCTTTGGCCTCGTACTTTCAGTCATTGTCCTGCTGAAATTTGAATTTTCGACCCAGTTTTAGATTCTTCACTGACTTAAGCAAGTTTTCCTCTAGGATTCACCTGTAATTTGCACCACCCATTAGTCCCTCAATTCTGACAAGCTTCCCAGTCCCTGCTGATGAGAAGCATCCCCATAACATGATGTTGCCACCACCATGCTTGACAGTTGGGTTGGTGATGACTGGGTTATGTGCTGTGTTGGGCTTGTGCCAGACGTAATGCTTTGAATTTAGACCAAAAAAAGCTCAATTTTTGTCTTGTCTGACCTCAAAACCTTCTGCCACATGTCTGCAGCATCATTCACATGCTTTGTCACAAACTCCATGTGAGATTTAAGATGATTCCTTTTCAGTAATGGCTTCTTTCTTACCACTCACCCATAGAGGCTAGTTTAGTGTAGGGACCAGGATATTGTTGATGTATGAACACTGACATGGAACTTTGCAAGTCTTTCAAAGTCATTGTTGGCTTCACGGGGGCATCCCTAACCAGTTTCCTGCTTGCCCAGCTGCTTAGTTGGAAGGGTGGCCTGATCTAGGAAGTGACTGGGTGGTGTGAAGCACATTCCACTTCTTAATGATGGACTTCACCATACTCAAAGGGTATAATCAGTGTACTTTTAAATTTCTTAGTAACCTTCTCCTGACCTTGTGTCT